TCTGTATGCCTTCGCAGAGTAAAAATTGAGTGTGAGTGCAAAGGAACGTAGTGAAGGGTGGTACTTCTCTGTTGATGTAGTGCCAGTCTTTCTCCTTTTCACCATTCTTTTCATGATCTCGGCAGGTACGTCACAGGTCTTCATCAACCTCTCAAGTCCATTTTCAGAGAGCAGTTTCTTCTTTTCCAGTGCCTTCACAACATCTGTCAATGTATTAACCTTCTTGCGCAATCGTCGTGACTTTGCCTGTGAAGACTTGAGACGTTTCTGCAATGAGGTGGCACGCTCAAACACTTTGTCAAGCTTACGTTTAACCGACCTTGGGCTTTCCTCGACACAGTATGTATGATCACGAACTGACTTCTTTCTCACAGGGGTTTGGGGTGGTGAGCCTCTGTTAAAGGTCGCGGGGTCTGCAAGTGACTGTGGTCTTTGCGTGGTTGATCCATGAGAAGAAGTGGCACTGCTGCAGAGCTGGTTGGTTGAACTGGCGTCAGCAGGTGAGGCTTTCTTCTCCTGCTCTTGGAGGTCACTGGATAATTGACCCTCCACTTGGTGATCACTGTTGCGCCCAAACGTCGAGTCACGAGGAAATGGGGATTTCCGTTTGTTTGTAGTCTGAAATTAATCTATGTATTAATACGATAAGGTCGGAATGTTGTGCAGCTAAAAACTTTTCCGCGCTTTTGGCTTGCGCCGCCTGCCGGGATCGGACTGATTTGGTGAGCCGTGTCCCCCGTATTCAATTTGCCGCGTGGACGCGTCATTGTCGTCACTGGATTGCGAATTCGGCTGACCCGCCTTGTGGTGTGTGGTGCGAACGAGGAAGACATAGATCAACAACGGAGATTAATTACTTTATGCATCGGCCATTCAACCAACGCGTTTAATCAACGAATGCTAGAGGCCCGTGATTCATGGGCCGCAGATGACTAGAAAAGATAAATAAAATAAAAAGTAAACCATAAGTACATTTTATTATCCAACTTTATGACCGAGGAAAAAACCAATAATAGAATATGCATGCAGTTCATCTTCACTGTACGAATACTGATAAGGGGAAAAAGAAAATGTAAAATTCGAACAATCAACAAAAAGAGAAACAATTCGGATTAATCACATAAACAAATTACAAATTATAATAAAAAATATTAATGTAAAAATTCACTAATGTCTGTGAAAGACTGCAATCATAATATGAACTACTATTAGAATGCACACTCCTTCACTAATATATCTAATATATACAATGTTGTTTTCCCTCATTCTTCAGTTACCACAGTAATAGTAAATAAAAACTAAATATTTAGGTAGAAGATGTGATTCAAATTGAAAGCCACTGATGTTTTTTGTTTTTAATTCTTTGTATAGTAATGATTTCAACGATTGATTTTAAAGTTTACATTCTTGCCAATGCTCAAGTTAAACATCAATTTCTTGCTTTAATTAAGATTTGATATGCAGTACACAACCTATTATCCGAGACCCTTGGGACCAGACACGTTTGAGAATTCAGAATTTTTTGCATTTCGGAATGGTAGTACAGTACAGATATACGTACTGTATATGCTGTAACTAGCCAACACTAAACCCAAGTTTTCGATAGGCCAAAAATTCTGTTCCGGTACAGTGCAATGCGTATGACTAATGCCAAACACATTAATATTCGTCGGGTCGAGTTTTGGCACCAGACGCGAGTTTTAGTGTGCAGACTACCGCCACAAGGAACCGCTACCGGTTTTCGGAGCTTTTCGTTTTTTCAGAATTTTGGTTAATAGGTTGTGTACTGTACCTTCATAAGATGTGATGGAAATTTGAAGAGAGTTGGGACAGCGTCTAAATGGAGGCGTGTTGTTTGACCAGTTCGATCAAAACAATGCTCTTCAAAATGGTCAGAGCAGATGATAGAGCGTGGCCCGGGTGCCCAGCGATCCCTCCTCATCTTTGCAAGCCACTCTTTCAGTAAGGGTGGCTTACCATGAGGGAATCTGAAATGCAAAAAAGAAAAAAATCACAATCATAATGCCATGGACATGGTAGATCTATGGGATGGTACTCGTTTGAAAGAAAAATAAGGAAATTGTACTTTAGCTACATCCTATAGCATATTAATGTGTGTTAAGCTGGGTTTACACTGCCAACTTTGAGTTGTCGAATTGCCGAATTGTACCAACTTGGCAATTTTGCAACTGACAATCGGCATTTGCTCGCGCGTTTCTGCGGCATGTGGGAAATGGTATTTGAGGTACTTTTGAGTACACGTATGTACAGCCTTCATTTCTGACTATGAACTGTCTGTGACATAACTATGTACGGGGGTGCACTTTTTAGGTCGGGTTCATTGTGAATGTGAATATGTGTCATATGTGAATGTGTCATTTATTGAATATGTTGGGTTGACCATCAGGGGGATGAGGGCAACAGCAAAACTCTTTCTTGGAATTGTGAAACAAGCTGTAAAAGGGTTGTATTGTAACCTCTGCTTTGCCATTCAATTACATAATTTAACCCATGCATCATGCAGGTAGCTGCACGACTATTATATTTGTCAGTCCACCCCCCTAAATCCGCCACTGATGTAATGTCCGCGGGTGGGCGTGATCCTGCAGCCAGTTGTTCACTGTAGCTAGATACCTATCTCTGGTGCCATAGTAGTGTTTTCCTCGCCTAAGTCTAGAATTTGTCAACGGCGAGTCGACTGCCCAGAAATGCTCTGATGAATCGAAGGCAAATTTCATATACGTATATGAGAAGGCTGAATGCATGTTGTATGTAGACAAGGCTGAATATAGAGACCGGGACAAGAGGCAGAAAGTGATAAAAGAAATTGTGAGTGCGCTTGAATGGTCGAGTTCATCGATGTACATGGTGTACATGTACATGTACATGATGTCTGGCATCTGCGCTGATGACAGATAGATTTGTTCTCATACATATTCTGATTTTTGCAACATAAATATACAGAATCGTCAGATGCCTTTTAATAGGCTTCACAAAACTTTCACACGTGCTATGCCTGGCGCAAATTTATACATGTAATAATGCCCATATCCCCATAGGTCAATTTGGGCTAGGAAGTTGGGACAGTCTGTGCCACATTTTTTATTGATCTCACTCCAGTTGGTTTTGTTCACAGGTTTGAAGCTGCAAAATATATGGTGATGATTTTATTAGATTTTAATAGAATAATTTAGCAGAGCCTCATTTTACAGTGAGTCAACATGATTGATTAATTAAAGGAACAGTAGCCTCTAGGTTCTAGGGTTATTTTCAGCTAATTTAGGTTATAATTGCGCTACATAAAAAGTTTCATGGTTCAATCACCTTCTGAAATGCAAAAAGAAAAAAATCACAATAATCATAATGCAATGGACATGGTAGATCTATGGGATGGTACTTGTTTGAAAGAAAAATAAGAAAAATTGTGCTTTAGCTACATCCTATAGCATATTAATGTGTGTTAAGCTGGGTTTACACTGCCAACTTTGAGTTGTGGAATTGCCGAATTGTACCAACTTGGCAATTTCGCAACTGACAATCGGCATTTGCTCGCGCGTTTCGGCTTGTTGATGGGTATTTCAGTGGCATCTAGAATAACACGCGTCTTACCAAAATTAGCTTCAGGCTTAGCTGGCCGGCATGTGGTCATCAACAGTTTCCCTGGATGGCCGAAAATCCAAGTCTTTCAATTGAAAGTATCTAAGGAAGTGTTTCTCTTCCCGATCCCAGGCTCTACGGTTTAGCAGGTGCGCTAGTGGCACCCGTTTCTTAAGGGTAGTATCAGGTTGCGCCAATAGAGTCCACGGTAGATAACACAGATAGATAACATGAACTCAGAAATGTGGCGCTACTCTCCGTTTGTTGTATTACACCACTGAATATACTCTCTACTACATACTACATAGAAGACTACACATATGACTACACACACACAGAAATGTGACCGACTAACAATAATTTCGTACCTTAACTCGTGCTTATCGCGGATGATCACGGAGACGCTCGGCCGGGGTGAAAACGGCAGGCAGCAGATACGTGCGAGGGTACGTGAGGATAGGCGAAGAGATTTAAGAGGACTCGTGTGAGGATATCAAGGCAGAACGGAGAAACGGAAAAGTGTGGCTGGGAGAGGGTGTAGGAGCTTGGTGAAAACTGGACCGTGCTGCCTATACTAGAGGATGGGAGCCGAGAGCGTATCTACCTGCGCATTTGGCGTCAACAAGTCTCTGGTCCCTAGAGACGGTCCAGGTGGGCATCGCAGTGGAATCACAATTATATGTGATAGAAGTGGTTTATTGTGATTGCGTTCGTGCCGAGAACTATTATAGAATGCAAACTAATATAGACTGATGGGAACTGGCGCTTTCCTACAAGTACAAGAAGTTTATCCAGGTCACCACAACATTTGACACGGTTGTTTCACTGACATTGAACAACAGGCTTAGCTCAAAGTCTTCTTTTGCCTGTCTGAGTTTAATCAATGTCATAAAAAACAGATTTTTTGGTGTTAATAATTTGCATTTGTATGACAAATGATCGACAGCTGGTCCAAGCACATGGAATAGGAACATGAAATGACAATAGTTCTCAAACCCAGTAATACTTCACAGCCTTGACGTTCGATTCAAAATTGTCAATCGTATACGCACTGTGCAAGTCAGTCAGTAGATTGCACTCAATTGCCATCTCGTTTGTCGCTGATTCCTGTACAATTGTGGTTTCCAACAGGGGATCATCCTCAACTTCAACCTCCTGGGCAACATCCTCCAAGTCCGGTTGTGTCTCATT